TGACAGGGGGCGAGATGCTCATCAATCGACTCGGTTCGGACTCTGCTCCGCTGTGAAGCTCGCTCCCAGCTGGCACAGGGCTCGATCGCTACAGCTTGGATTGACGAGCAAAAGGTGGGTGGCGCGTTCGACTGAGCAGCGGAGAAACCAGGCGTTGAGGTTGCTCTGGGCCCGCCGATCCCGTCGCAGTCAGAGTGGGCTGCTGTCTCTGCGCCACAGCGTCACGACCGACGCGACGTGGCCACTCTATAGCGAGCGATACACAAAGAGAAATGGGCTCTTTCACTGCTGTCTAGCGGGAATTGAGTCGAGCTGTAGGTAGTACGTCGGGGACTAGCGCAGTCGAAGGTGCCTCTCGCTTCTCCAAGGGTGATGCTGAGGGGCCAGTGGCTGTGTAGCCTTGGAGAGCTCGGGTGGGATGACGTCCTTTTCCTTGATGTGGGTTGATGATGAGTGCTCTGCTGCTCTGAAAACTTCTATGATGGGTCGTCTTGTTGTGCGTTGTTGTGCTTTGTTGTGCTGAGCAGAGACAAGATCGGAGCAGGTGTTGCTCTGCATGCTCGCTGAAAAGCAGACGCGATGCTGGTGGTCAGATGGCCTGTCAGTCACACGCAGTCATTGTGAGCTTCTTAGCTCCCAGACAGCTGATCGTGCAGCAACACGACGTTGGCCCGTCATCGAGTCTTTGTTCCAAAAAAGTCGAGAAGATTGGGCCTTGATCGATCAGCATGCATCGTCGTGAGTTTGAGTGAGTTTTTGAGGGCTGGTTGTGCTGATCGCGCATGCTGCCCGCGACTTACACTCTGTGACTCATACAGCTCGCTCTCTCTGCCGCACGGTATGCACGCCGCCCACCTTCAGCCTCGCCTGACTGACATGCAGCAGGGCGTGTGAGCAGGGCGTGTGAGCAGCAGCAGCTAGTGTTGGCCGCGGAGTCATAAAGATTCACGCTAGTCACGACGAAGGTGAGACCATGACGAACCACCGCCCAACCTTATTTCAGGACTCATCGTTGCCGAGACAATCGGCAACTTGAGCGTTTCAAAAGCAGGCAGCACACGCGTACGTCCTAGCTCTTGTCATCCTCATCCTCGTCCTCAGATACCCTCATGACCGAAATGCTATGGGCGATGCCAACCATCGTGGAACGGGCACGTAGTCTGCTGCCCCAGCAACTCCAGAACGCACGTAGAAAGCATGCTGATCAGATGGACGCAGCCGGATGATGGTCTTGAGCCTGCTTGTGCTCCCTCGCTCGCAGCGTGCGAAAGCGAGTGCGAGCGCTATAGCGCTGCTTGCGAGAATCCGACGCCCCCATACACGACCAACCGTCCGTTCAAGCGTTATTGTTGTCATGTTTTGTGAAGTTCGGAAAGCTATGACCAGTCAGAGGATATGTGCACGCCTCGGTGCGCTAGAGATTGAATTGCATGGGATTACGAACCCTTTCTCCATCTCAACATCTCTTGTTCGCCTTGGGCACCGCTGCCACACCAGCAGTCAAGCGTCGAATTGATAGTGTCAAGCGCGCGCAGAGCCCGATCTGAGACAACGGGCTCTCCCCCGATGAAACCGCGCTAAGTATCGCAGACTGAACAGGCCCATATGACTGCGAGCGTCATGAGCTCTGAAGCGTGTAGTCGCTGCAGTCTAGATGGGAGGATCGCGAGTTCACGAAGTCAGCTGAATCTCCCCTTGTCCTACACGTGTCGCCCCGAAATGAAGGCAGCACTCGAAGCGATGACTTCCCTCGTTGTGCTTTGATTTCCCCGGCCCCCTAGGGTCCCTTGTTGATCCTGTAGACGAGCCCTTGTGCGTCGATGAGGGATTTCAGCGAGCAAGTAAAAAAGCCTCATCCCGTGCTAGTGACGGTAGCGATTCGTACTTATCATCCAAACTGGCCCGCGCGACTTAAAGTAAGGTTGTGAGCGACTTAAAGTAAGGTTGTGAGCGATGATGGTGCAGTGATGCAGCTATGAATGCCAGGCCAATAGTGTATGTAGTAGTAGTCAAGAGTCGTAGTCTACTACTAGTGT